AGAGGCAACGCAATATAAAAATTGTTTGTGTATTTGATTGCAAGCGTCACTGAAAATTTATATCAGAACATTTTTAGATTTGATGTGCAGTATTGCGTCACAGTGAGAACTTCCAAAGAAGTGTTTTTTACTTATATAATATCATCTTCATTTAATTAATTAGAATACTTTACTGGGGAAGTCATTGACCGTACTTACAGATTTACCGGCATTAAAATTGTAATGTTACTAACCATTAGATTAACATAAATATTTGTAATAGCCACTACAATTGTATTAGATATTACTGTAATGCTAAAAATCTGACATTACAATTGTAATAGCATTACAGTAATGCTTCGTTACAATTGTAATGTGTTACTGCAAAATGTAAATCTGTAAACCTAACTTCAAAAATAAAATCCAATTTAAGAAAATAATAATCAATTCTTACAAATTTTCGTCAATTTGTTGTTATATGCTATAGCACCATGAGTCGGATTTCCAGTATAAGCGACCAAGAAAGGCATGAAGCGCTAATGAATAATGTCATTTTACCACGGCATTTGCCGCAGAAAAAATCGTCGGATTTGCATGGCGAAGAATTGGCATTACTCTCGAGTATGGTAAATAACATCGATAGGTTGAAAAAATGGATTCCACTTAACACGGTTGAAATGTTCAAAGGATTTGATCGAGTGCATCGCACACGAATTCCGGCAGTTGTATCAAAAGAAATTCGTGACCTAACACCAGGAAAAACGTTTGCAATGTTTGTACGAAGACAAAATTGTGCAATAATGGCACATATGCCATCAAAAGGTAACATGAAATCAAATCAATCGAATCGTGTTATCGTGTCAACGTTTCCAGGAAATCTTCATCCGAAATACATCTATGCCGTGGACAGTGATATTGAAGTAAGTACAAGAAATAATCCGTTTTTGTGCTCTGAAACTTTCGTAGATTTTAACGTTTTTTCACTTTTCATCAGTTCAATTATCCGATTCAAGCACTGGATGTACCATTTTCAAAATTGATTTGCTCGGAAGAGTTTGCCGACCAATTATGTTATTTGTATCAAGAGATAACAGTTGATAAGAAAAATCGAGACTATGTATCAAAATGGTTGTTCACGCTGCTTGCGGATGCGAACAACGAAACATTGAATCCGACTGATTTTCCAGTGATCACCAAGAAAATTCGGGACGAAACGATGGGCACTGATAACACCGATTTCTTTCGTCGATCCGGCTTCTATATGTGCACGAAAGTACTATTACAACATAATCTTACCGTTGAGCTCGGTGCAAAACGAGCAAAAATACTTTATAAATTGATAATGATACAGTTTTTGGTCCAAATGATTGACTATTTCAATATGAAATCATGTGAAATGCTCAATATTGATCTCATGTCTCAATCATTGGCCAAATTGGCAAGACGCATTGAAAAAATGTCTCAGTTAATAAGCCAAACGAACGACGAAAAAACCATCGAGTTATATGAATTGATTGTGGATCAAGCAAGGGCTACTATATCACAAATACGTCAAAAAATTGACAAGCAAATCAATCAATTGCAAACTAACGATGAGAAAAATGCTCAACTAACACCACTGAAAGATTTAAATTTTTCCGAAGATCTCTGTCAAAAGATCCCAAAATTATCGGAATATTTAGAGAATCGTCAGAGCAAACAGACTTCAACGAATCGATTCGGATCGAGTCTTCAAATTAAGCCGGTTCAACGACATTATTTGAACGAATTGATAGCACCTGATGTTTCGAAATTCATCTCGACGAACAATGAAATTGAGAATCATCTAATTTGGAGTGATTTCGAGAATTGGATACTTTATATTGTGAATTTTACGTCGAGTTCATTAAGTGCGGCTGAACTTTGTAAATGGTCATTTTCGTATGCGTCATTTGCTGAACAATTTTACAACGGTGATCAATTGGGAACGAGTCGAATGATATTGGTTCGTTTAAAAATGATTGCAATGCTAGATTTTATTGGGTGTACCAAACATCAATTACTTTTGCAACATCGCAGTGGTATAAATCCAAATATAATCGATTCACTGCTATTGCCACAGCAACATGACATGGATATCGCATACGAGCTAGAATGTTACTTTAAGAAGCGGAATGAAGCACACGATCCAAGTCTGATTGAAGAAAAAAACGTCAGTATCAAATCATTTTCGTCAAAATATGCCGAACTAAACGAAGAAATGCAAGTGGTTTTGGAAAAAATCAAGGAAATCGAACAAAAGGGAATCGATACCAAGCGAACCGAGTGGACAAATGAAAGAGCACGACTTTCAAAACTTCGTCTTTCACTACCAGTGAGTTGTAGCTATTATACTGATTACTATGGTGTACAGCGCCATGATCGATATTGTAGTCGATGTCGGATCAAAGCAGAAATCGATAGTGCAAAAATCACACAATACGAACGGCCATTGCCAAAGAATGGATACCAACAGAATGCCATTGTATTTGAACTCAAATCGCCAATTGAAATAACATGCTTAAGAGACGTACTTTATGAATTTGCACGATTCTGTGATGGCGAACCAAAAAAACAGGAATCGATTCAAGGCAATTGGATAAATTATCATCAAATCAAAAAGCTAAATGCAACGCAAAGTAAGCACATTATACACATTGTACAACTCGGAAGTACAACGGGGACTGAACTACAATCATACCATGTTGATACTATGTTCGACATGTTCGTCATTCAAAATGGTTTCAATTGCATATTTCATGCATCAAACTGGTGTCTACCAAAACCAATTTCAGACCTAAGCATCAAAGATAAGTGCACATTTGTAGCGGACGAAGATGAATACAAATCATTGCAATGGACATTGAAATCTACACAACACACCCAAAATGAGGTGATTACACGTCAAAAAGAATGTCCCGATACATTGTCATTGTCTGAATTCAAAAATTTTGGTTCGCTTCGTGCGGATGGTCATCGTTTACAGCTCCGAAAAATGTACGCAATGATTGAGAGTGAAGCACTCTCATTTGAAAAGTCATCGACGCTATCTCTGATAATACAAACCCTTTGGGAGGCTGGCATTAGTGGCGACGATGACGCGATTCGTGAATCGCATGCTGATTTTAATGATTCAATGTTTACATCGGCAATGATTGAGATGCTGGTAAAATTTTGCGAACAACAGAAAAACAATTGGGTATGCTCTCTTTTACGATTTAATGTGATTGAACTTTGAATGTTTATTTTTTTTCTGTGCTTTTCCGTCTTAGGTACACCCACTGAAGCTAATGATGGCCGCTTTTATCACAGTGCGTATGTTTGAAATCAACACCGACCCTGAATTGGTCGATCTTCTTGTGAAGGTTCTCGATCAAATTCGCACCATTGCGTTGAATTGGATTGAAAAAATCGAAAAATCGATAAACGAAATTCAAAATCCAAATATGGCTAGCGAACAAGAGCTACGCATGAAATTGATATTGGTTGCAATTGCTGGAGCTATCACATTTTACGTACATTCAACGCATGAGTACTTTGATCGAATTTTCAATGATGAAAAACGATATTCGGCGTCACGAATTTGGCTTCAATTTGGGGTCACTCTAAGCAACAATGTGCTGTTGAATGCTAAACAAACTGGCATCACCTCAAATCTACGCATATTTCTACGAATTGTGCGATATACTGGCATTCACATCGAATCGAAAATTCAATCGTTGATCCAGAAAAGTCCGAATGATATATTTGCATTTGTCAAAAAACAATGGAATCGTGCCGACTCTGGTACATTTGGTAAATTGTACTTTTATGAAAAATCTCCGCAAATTTGTGTGATTGAAGTCAGCATAAGGAATGTGATTAATCACGTTACCATTGACATAGTGACTGGGTTATTTTTGGTGAATAGATTGCCGGTGTCACGCTTACCGACTAATATCACAAACAGTGCACTGTTCCAGAGAATCTTCAGGAATTTCGTCTTTGAAGTACAGCCATCGACACAAAACGTATTTACTGCCAAGCATAAATACAACGAATGCAGTTATGAATTTCATCGCTTAGGTAATCAAACGATAATCATTGAAATGCATAATGGTGATGAAAAGGAAGTCATTCCACATGAAATTCTCATCAATGAAATTCCGTATATGCTCATTGAAAATTACACACACTTTTGGAATAAAACAACAAATGCCATCGAATTTCGACCGAAGCTTTTCAGTGATGATCACTTTTCAACGGATGCTGGCATTGAATATCGTTTGGATTTGGACGAAAAACGTTTGATACACATGAAAACCGAACGACCTCTCTTGGATATCAACAGTGGCAGCTATTTGAAAATTGTCGAACAATTATCACGACTAGAGTCATCGCGATACATTCACATTTTAACGGATAAAGAGAATAACCGAATTGCTAAGGCTGAATTAGTTCGAATGCAATTGAAATTCATCGTTGATTGCACGGACATTTACAAACCATCCGATCTTATGTCGAACGAATATAGTCAGATGCGTGTTAGTCTCTTGCAGAAATGCGGCACACTATATGGATTGCACCATGGTAAGTATGGCCATCGAAATTAGTACATTTGAAAAATAAACATATATGCAGGGATTGCTTCTTTGAGGTGGTCCTCCTATATAACAGAAAAATCGTAACCAATTTAACTTGTACAATTTCAACTTCTTTCAGGACTATTGCTAGAGAGTGTGCCAAGCGAAAAGTCATCTGCAGCAGATGAACCAGAAAAAACTCTGACCAAGTTACTTCTTATGCCACATGGTGATATTCAAACAGAGCTATCTGGTTCACATGTTTCTGTCCGTATTGATATCGAATCGGAACTGTGTAGCCCACCATTTCATGTGTATCAAATTGACGATTTTTGTCGACAACTAAAGGCCATGAACAGTAACTATGCAGCATGGTTTTATTTGGCTTATTTACACGCAGTCACATCGCATGGTGAAGTTGAACCATTCATCAAAATGTCGGGCACAGAACGTGCGCTGCAAATATTACAATCCGGTTTTGCATGGTCATCGCAACCATACGATGAAGAAGCAATAAAAATACTCGAAAAAATTGCACAACTTTCACCCATACGAAAATCACGCGTCGGTGAGTCGAAAGAGGAATGGCAGCAAGTACAGTGGCCCATGTTTATTCCGCCACATTCGGCGCAAGACACTTTCATTTTCATCGCACAACGACTTTTGGACGATAGTCAACGATTGCTTGGACTGTATCCCAATTCGAGCGCACATCAATTAAAGATTGAGTCCAATCTTGGTTACAATAAACGGCAATATCTTCGCTGTTTGCCATTGATGCCGAATCTAAGGGTTTCGGACGTATTTATGGATCATATTCAATTGAAAACATCGCCGATCGATTATCCACAAACCAAAGTATCGCAGGAAACTCAAACAATAGCAATTTTATACCATCGTGGCGCATACAAAGTGCCCAATGATTTGAATTTGTCACAGTTTCTCAAGTCAAACCGAGAATTGGATGGAATAGCCCACATGGATAGCATACCGAGTCTGCTTAAGCATCAAAATTATAAAACATTTGTCAATCTATGGATTTCGTTGTATGAATATGCGCGCACAACAAAATTGAATCGAGAACAATTTACGTTGATTTGGAGCGTTTTGACGCACGAAGAAAATTCATTTGCACCAATTTTAGCATTGCAAGCAATAGCCATGAATCCACAGCAATTCCGATCGATTGAACCGCCACCGATTCACGAGTATGCAATCCATTCGTTAATTTTTCCATTAATTCCATTACTTATTGATTAATTTCCATTCCTTTCTATGTGATTTAGGTATAAAATACATGAAGGAAGCAAATGTGATGCAAGTAAAATTACGAGCATTCTGAACAGTCACCATACAATGCCATACCAATATTATTCTGAAGATTTCGAACGCACGAAATACGATAGTAAAAAAAATACGACAATTGAACGCATGACCAATATTGTGACAGCCAATTGGCCTTGCGACAAAATTGATTTGGCACCACATTGCACAATAGAGAATATTCAGATTAATGCGGCAAGCACGCAAATCAGCCGATACTTGAAAATGTGGAATAACAATCGTAAATTGGATTTGTTCATTCAAGATGTGCAACAAAAACTACAATCGTTAAATAACTCGATACACATTCAAATACCGCATTTCCATTCATTATCGTTTCCCGTTGCAAAAAATTGGAAAAAATATCAAATCGAATATAAGCAAAAAATGTGCGAAGAAATTGAAGATTTTGACAGTGTTATAAAAGAAGCAAATCAAATTTGGTGTGGAGATTCCAGTCCAACTAGATCATCGGACGAATGGTGGTCAATTTATGAGAAAATTGTGAATGGTTCAAAATCACGGCATTTGATTGATGCCCGAATGTATCCACGTATCGTGCCGAGTACTGTTTTGCCTGAGATTGCTTCGAAACATGCAAATCCATTGAAACCAATCATTGGTGCATTGGCTATAACAATTTCGCATGAACAACGCAACAAACGAATTGAAATTTACTCAAAGCAAGAGCAGCTACGCGGAGCCAAGGAACGAGAAGAAGAAAACAAGCCGCATGAGAATTGGAAACCATCGAAATACCCCGAATGGTTGCTATTTGAAATTGAACAGAACGTGACTATTCGACGTGTACAGGTGAAAGTGGCCGAACATATGATGAACCCAACGGATATTGGCACAAAGCATTCTGTGATGCAACTGAATATGGGGGAAGGAAAAACTGCTGTCATCGCACCCATCATTGCGGCTCTATTGGCCAATGGCAAACAAGCAGTTCAAATAACTGTACTCAAGTCTTTGTTTGCTACTAATTTGAAGAGTCTGCGTCGATATTTGGGCGGAATGTTAGGCCGACGAATGTACATAATGCCATGTAGACGCGATATGCCAATTTCCCAGCACGTTAGTCAATTGATGAACATCTATACCGAATGCAAGGAAATGAAAGGTGAGCTAATGTTTCGGATATTCAGACAATGCATTTGGTATACTGGCATTTTTTTCAGGTGTTATTCTAACGAGCCCTGAATGGCGACTTTCATTCCAACTTAAACAATACGAGTCGATAGAACGCTTGGAATTCGAAATAGCCGCACAATTTGTGTCCGTACAGAAATGGATCAATGCAAATGTTCGCAGCATTTTGGATGAATCTGATGCCATTTTGCATGCAAAGTATCAATTGATTTATACTTTGGGCGCTCAACTGCCACTTGATGGAGGTACGAAACTTTTCTCCGATTTAAAGTATTTATGTTTTCATAAAATATTTAAACATTTCCCTCTTGATTGATCTTAGGTGCTGATCGATGGAATGTAATCCAAGCAATTTTAAAATGCGTTCCAGAGCACATGAAACAATTAAACCTCAAACATGGTCCGGAAAAAGTTGAATTTGATGAGATCTATGTTGAACGGGGTCATGTGTTTGGAGGGCACAAAGTTAATTATCGGGCCGATGTTTTTACACCATGTCGCATTTTGGATCCAGATATCTATACTGTTTTAAAGTCATATCTTATTGAAGACTTTTTAGAAGGTCGTCTCAATCTCATATTTCCGGAGATGCAGCCAGCGGCCAAAGATGGTTTGCGACATTTGTTAACTGAGAAAAATATTAACAAAGAAAAATTGGATGCTATTTTGAAAGATTTCTCACCGCGTGAACGCAACATTTTAATGACATTGAGTGGAATGTTACGGTTTGAAGTTTTGAAATTGGTGTTGATGCGACGGTGGCGCGTTAACTATGGCGTCAATGATAAAGGCAATCGAAAAATGGCGATACCCTTCAAAGGTACCCTCTTTCTTTCTCTCTTTTCTTTTGTGTCTATCTATGATCTATGATTTTATACTAAAAACTATTTCGTTTTATTTTTAAAGCCAAAGACGTAGCTGCGGAGCTTACAGAATTTGGACATCCCGATGTCGCGCTTTGTTTTACATATCTCAGCTATTATTATTCGGGTAAGCAAAATACAATACAATACAATGGTTACCAATTTAAATGGATTCAATTGATCAAAAATAAACGTTTCATCAATTTTCCGCAATTCATTTTCAGGTTTAACTGATGATCAGCTAAAACGATGCTTTCAATTGTTATCTGTCTCACAAAATGCGGACACAATTTATGAAAAATGGGCACAAAGTGTACCAACTGAATTGATGGATGCTTCCATTCGATCGTACACTGGCGTGAATCTAAGTGATCCACACCAACGTGATGACATTCTATTTCCTATGTTCCGCTTCAACATGTATGTCATTGATTTTTATCTGTCAAAGGTGGTTTTTCTACGCGAAGCAAAAACATTCGAAAATAAATTGATGTGTACGGCCTGGGATCTCTCATCTGAACACATGCAAAAAAATATAACCGGATTCAGCGGAACAAATGATACGAAAAACATTTTACCATTGCCTATTGCACAAAATGATTTGGCTGAATTAGAGAGCACCAATGAAGATGTCCGTAAAACACTATTACGCGATGAGAATCAACTGTATGAAAATCTACCAGCAAATGTAAGTGGCTTGGAAATTATCGAGAAATTGGTTGAAAATGAAATTCCGGTGTTGCTAGATGCAGGTATGTATTTTGAAATAAATCAATCATCATTCAATAAAAAAAACGATAAAAACTAAACGTAAAATCGACTTTTCAGGTGCATTAATGTTGGAATTGAATAACCAACAAGTGGCAAAAGAATGGTTGGCATTAGCTTCGGATACATTCTTCGATGCAGCGGTTTATTTTGATGCTAGCGACATTCTTCAAACGATAGACCGTAATGGCATTGTAACCGAATTTGATTGTTCAGTTTATCGTGAAAATCTAAGCCGATGCTTGGTGTATTTGGACGATGTCCATACACGGGGAACCGATCTTCGTTTTCCGGTGAATTGGAAAGCATGTGTTACACTTTCGGGTGATATTACACGTGATAAAACCGTGCAGGCATGCATGCGTATGCGCCAATTGAGAAAAGGACAATCAATTGCATTTTGGGCATCATTCGAGGCCGATGTCAAAATACAAGCACTATGTGCCAACGCGCTTCCTCACGTCTGTGTGCCAAACGATCATGTAATTGAATTCATTTGTAGCAATAGCAAAATGTTTGAATCAGAAAACACCGTTCATTGGACAGCCGGTGCATATAATTACACCAAGAAATTGATTGGTCACAAACTGTATGAAAATTCAATTGATAAAACATCATTAACCGAATTATTGAAAATATGCCGTGATGATGAATACGTTTTGTTGGAAGATGTTTATGGCGATAAAGAAGATGCATTGCTAGTAAAAATTGTCCAAAGTAAATTCGAAAAATTAATCACCGAATTCAAGGACAAAAAGACTGTTAAATCTTTTGTTGAAAAAATAATGTGTGCGGTACATGATAAAATAATGGATTTGGCACCGAACGTAAAACGATTCGTACAGGCTCTGGATGAAGAACAAGAGGTATATTTCTGTTAATGAACTTCATTTTATTCTAATTTAATTGATTTTTATTATTTTTTTATTCTAAAAAAAAACACAGAAAGAGCTCGAGCACGAATTGGAGGAAGAGCGTAACATTGAACGGCCAGCTGCAATGGTTCCAGCTAGACCACATTTCGACGAGAAATTCAAGGAATTGATTTTAACAGGTGCACATCCGAACAATTTGAATGGTTTGATACAACGTGGAAGTATCACGAGTCTACACGACAGTCTAAAAAATACACAGTTGATACGTGACTACATTTCCGAATCGAAGGCTTGGTCTCACAACATTTTAGTTACCAAAGATTTCACACGTGTTCTATTTTACGAATCAAGCTACTGTGATGAATATTTACGTCCTGTCTGGTGGATCGCATACGTCAAAATACCAGCACAAAATAGATATATTTTGATTTTACTGAGTTCATTTGAATGCGATCGCTTGATGGCTACATTTAAACAGAGCGAACAATCGGTTTTGTGCATGTTTAGACCGCGTCTCAGTAAGTTACATGACAATTTATTGCATCAAACAAAATTACAAGTCACTGGTATGAACGGAAATGTTCCATGTATTGATGTCGTGGATGAAGTAAATATTGGAATTTATTCTGGTTCGATGTATTTCAAGAATCAAATTGAACAGGACGCGTACTGCAATTTTCTCGGTTTAATTCCACGGCCACGAACCAAGGAATTGGATGAAGCTTTCAACGCTGGCATAATCAAACCAAATGGATTTGTTTCACCAGAGCATCGTCAACACGAGTCGATAATTGAATATGTTGGTGAATGCAAGTTCAATAAAAACCCAGTGGATCTGGCAATCAAACTCATCGAAGCACACCATCATTTGATTCGTAAGGAATCACACGTTGAATCGATTTTGGAAAGTGGATTCAAAATGTCAATCGCAGATGATTGCAATGCAGAAAATTAAGCATTTTTTATATAATATATGTATTTAGTAACGTACACATAATATATTTTTGAAAGAATTTCTATAAACACAGAAAATGTTGGAATTTTGATTGAATACAAGTTTAAACAACAAAATTTAAAAAATACCAAATATCAAACAAATAAAGATCCAATAAGAAAGAAAACATTGATGTATTTTAGATTGATTTAAAGTAGAGTTAAAGAAGAAATACATTTTCAGCTTTGAAAGGGACTGTTGTTCAAACGTAAGGTAATTTACAAAGGAAAATTGCTGTTTGCATAAAAAAAATTATAGAATATGTTCTGGAATAGCATTCCTTAGAGTTCGTCTCGTTTCTGTTTTAATAAATCGTCAGAGAGTTTACGAGTTTTCTCTTCAATGCTGGCCAAAAAATCGAAAGCCTCTTTGTTTGGTCTTGGGCCAGCTTCTAATCCATCATTTTTAATATTAAGGAAGTGTACGTCTCCATTTTTAACCGGTTTGAGTTCACTAATTGGATCACCTTTGTGTGATATTTCACTTAAGAAAATTTTTGTTATCAATTTAAGATTTGAAAGAATATTGAGTTTGAAATATTCAAATTCAAAAAAAAAATAACTCACCCGTATTTAGCAAAGTTTGTAAATATTTTGGTGATATTATCAATGGCTTGAAGGCTAATTTTTGAGTGTTCATCATTTTGATTGCTTACAACTTCGTCGTAAAGTGATTGGATCGAGTTAGATCTGAAATTTGAAAAATATAATTTTTAAATTAGATTTTTAATATCATCGAGATTCGTTCACTTTTAACTGACTTAAACAAATAGAATAAATCATCGGCATGAGAAGCGCCATGTATGTCAGCAACACTTGGATCACGAGGTTTTTGCACATTCAACTTTGAATCAACGGAAAACCTAGATTTTAAGTGATAACATCATATATGACAATATCATTGTTTTTATGGCAAAAATAATATATTACCAAGCATAGAATGTTTTACTCTTTGATTTAATCAGTGATGGTTTTTTCCTATCTGAATAGCGCTAGCTATTCGCAGCGCCTGTACAGCATTGCTGCCCAGATGCTGAATCGTAGCGGTTGCCGCACGCGCAACACACTTCGTTTGTACCACACAGAGCATATACGTTCGCGTTCATTCTCTGTTCGACATGCGTTTGTTACTGACTATGGTATTAGTGTATCATACTCTGTGAGCTCACTGGTTACTTAGACTATATGACAATTTGTTGTGTGGTACAAAACGCGTGCGGCAACCGCTTCGATTCAGCATCTGGGCAGCAATGCTGTTCAAACGCTGCGAATAGCTAGCGCTATTCAGATAGGAAAAAACCATCACTGGATTTAATCGCATGTTTTTGCACCACTTTATCAATTTCATATTGAAAATTTAAATGCGTTAGCAGAGTAATGTATTGTTTTAACGATCGTTCAGTTTGTTCATTATCGCCAAAATAAAATTTAAAAATTTCAGCCGTCAAATTTCGATAATTCTATTTAGGAGACAAAAATTAGCCGTCTATTATTTCTTCGATACGTGTAAAAATTGTATTTTGTCAAAAAATGAGAAATTATCTTACATCTGATCCAATTGCAAGTTGAAGTCCTCTAAATGGCAATTGTAAATTAAAATCATTGTTTATATCCTTCAAAGGTGGCACGGCTGATATCATTCCCGCAAATTCCTACCAAACGATAAAAAAAAACCACAACTATCCATACTGAGAATGCCATTAGCTTGACACATATTCCATGAAAGTATACATACCACAGATGTCGTTGTAAACAATACATCAAAGTCAAAGTTTTGCGTTTCATAGACTTTTTCTGGTGATTCAACCAAGAAAGGTTGAATTGCATCTCTTCCTATTTTAAAAAAAAAAAAAGAAACAAATTCATTTAATATTCATAAATACTGGAATAAACGGAAACTCACTTTCGACAACTGGCGTGAATTGAATAACGGCCACGGCATTGGGTAACAAAATTTTACTGTATTCACTTATTTTGTCAGCCGGAGCAGATTTCAAAAAAGCCAATAAATCCTCATAGCTGTTTTTTGGTTCATCCAAATCACCGGCAATCTTGTGTGCTATATCCAAATGATCGTTATGTTCCGACATGGCCCAATAGTTTCCAATTACACCACTCATGGCGATTGCATTGTGAAAATATTTTCTGGATTCAGTCGATAACATGTGGAAATGAACTGCTGCCGACCCAGCACTTTCACCGATGATAGTAATCCGTTTATTGTCTCCCCCAAATCGATCAATGTTTGAACTAATCCACTTCAATGCCAATTGTTGATCCCATATTGCCAGAGTATTCGGGTGTGTTAAGTGATAAAAATCCCAATACACCCAATCTGTAGTTTGTTGTCACCAAAATCGTTTGTTTTTCGACGATAAAATCTGGTCCGT